CTCTATAAATTCAGACTTGTAGCTCTCATTCACTGGTTGGGAGAGGAAAAAACATGCTCATTAAAATTACTATATACTAAGAACACCTATAATCAAGAATATCAGACGGACTGATCATAAAAGGTTTAACATCAACTAAAACAGAAAGACCATTCACTATATGATCATCTCCATAGATGCATAAAAGTATTTCATCAAGTCCAACATCCATCCTGATAAAAATTCTAAGCAAACTAACACAAGGAAACTTCCTCAGCCCAGGAAATAATATCTAACAAGGACACAATGGTGACAAACTCAGTGCTTTCAAGACCAAGAGAAGCGTATCTCACCTCTCCCTTTTCATCAACACCAGTATACATGGCAAGAAAAACAAACTGAAGGAATGAAACAGGAAAAAAAGTAGTAAACCTGTCCTTATTCTCAGAAGACATGAGCACCCATAGAGAAAATCTAAGGGGAGTCTACAAAAAAGCAACCAACTAGCCAGGCATGGTAGCAAACACCCAAAATACCAGCTACTATCGAGGCTGAGATGGGAGGATTGCAAGTTTGAGGCCATCCTAGGCAATACAAAGAGATAGAATCTCAAAACTATGAAATATAATAAAATACAAATACCAAAATATTATGTTGCAGCATATCAAATCAATTCATAAAAATTCAATGGTATCTCTACATATGAGCAATAAACAAAAATTAATATTAAAAATATCATATGAAATAGCATCAAAAAATATATAATTCAAGAACCTAAAAAACAGATAAATCTAAAAAAATGTAGACCTGCACAATAAGAACTTCAAAATATTATAATTAAAAATATATAAATAAATAGACTCTTATAAATTGAATATTATTGCCCTCCCAAAATGAGTATGTTAGAGTCCTAGTCCAACAGTATTTGAAGATGGAGCCTTAGGGAGTTCAGATTATGAGGTCAGGAAGTCGTGAGGGTGGGGACTTTACCAAGGAATCCCTGCTCTTACAAGAAGCAAAGAAAGAGGACTGAGGGTGTAGCTCAGTGACAGAGTGCGTTTACCATGTGTGAGGCTATGGGTTCCATCCCCCAACACTAAAAAGGAGGGAGAGAGATGGTCTGCCATGTGCAGACAGTGGTGATGCAGATGGTCACCAGCCAGAAAGACAGCACTCACCAGGAACCAAATCAGCAACACCTTCACCTGAGGTTTCCCAGCCTCTACTACTAAGATATAAATTTATATTGCTGAAGCCCATTCTATGGTATGTTGTTATGGTAACCCAAGCTGATAAAGACCAAGAATGAAATAGATTCTAATCAAGTTAAGACACATATGGTACACCCTAGAACAATAACTAAGGAAATAATCCAGAACAACAAAATGAAAAAACAATAAAGAAATGAAAACAGTTCACTAGAAAATGCTGATTTCATACAAAAGAAAACAGTATAGAAGAAGTACTGGAACAAAAGCAAAGATAGGCGACACACAGAAAACAAAATGCAAAGTGGCAAATGTAAATCCACATCTATCAATAACACCAAATGTCAGTGCATTAGGAAATTTGGGGAAAAGCAGAGTTTGGTAGGCTAGATAAAAACAAAATTCAAGTATATCCCGTCAACAGAGACATTCAGATAATGCAAGTAAAGGATAGAAAGCCCCAGAGGATGCACAGCACCTAGGGAACAGAAGTGACTACTCCAACAAAAGACCAGAAAGACTTTCAAGCAAAAGTCAGTAGAGAGAGACATTTATAACAATGAAGGGGTTCATCCATCAGGAAGACATAACAATTACACACAGATAGAAACCAAACAGCAGAGCCCCAAATATTGAAGCAAAAACTGGAAGAATTAGAGGGATCAGTTGACAATTCTACAATAATCACTAGAGACTTGAAGATCCCGCTCTCAATAATGAGTACTTAAGCAGAGGATCAACAAGGAAGGAGAGAGAGCACAAGGACCCAGCAGAATGGAAGGAGAGCTGCTAAACACCTTACCCACAGCAGCAGAAAGTGCATTTCTCTTAAATGCACAAGAAGCATTCAGGATAGATCACATTACAGACTAACAAAAGTTGGCAAGCACATGGAAAACTGGGACTCTCACAAACTGCTATGGAAGTATAAAACATACAATCACTCGCCCATGCTGCAGTTTCTTACAAGTTAGACACACATTTGCCACACCATCCACCACCACTCCCGCCTATGTAGTTATTCAAGGAAACAAAGGCGTAAGTCCATGCAAAGACTTGCACACAAGTGTTTGCAGCAACTTCACTTGCAATGGCCCAAAACACAAATGACTCCAGTGCCCAGTTTGGGGGAAGCAAAACTTGAGCTCTACAGTAAGGGTCTGAGGGTCTGCAATTACTCTGGCAAAAGACACACTACCAAGAAAATAAAGACAGAATTTTATTCACCTGTACACACAGATATTCACAGAAAAATGCAACTCAAGGAGGTGGTTAAATTGTGGGGCTTCTGTACCATCTCATTAGGGTACTTTGGTGGGGGAGAAGGCACTTATGGGGAAATGAATGGCCTTAGAAAGACACAGGCCCTCAGAAGAGATGAGAAATATGATAGTCTTGTGATGATACTTATTAAGGTGACTTCTCATCCCAGTGCCAGGTTCTCATCTCTAGTGATAGGAATCAACCTTCTCAACTTCCAAAACTTCTGGGCAGAATCATGACCAGTGAACACCACTCAGAGGCTTTGATTTTAAACAACAAGTGAATGAACTCAAGGAAAAAAGAAAAACTTACACATATACAATATATTATACATCCTTCCATCATCAACAGGATGAACAAACAATAAAGGCATTCAACAATAAAAGAGAAAGAACAAATACAAATAACAATGTGAAATTATTTCAAAATTAAATAAACCACATTTTTAATAACAGGACACACTGTGTGACTCTAGTTACACACAACTCTATAAAATGCAAACTAATCCATTGTGACAGCAAGTATTTAAGAAGTTACTCAAGATGTGGGGTACAGAGGGTTCAGTCAGGGGTGGTAGGAAGTGATTATTAAAAAAAAAAAAATGGAGGGCCAGGGTTGTAGCTCAGTGGTAGAGCGTTTGCCTCTCATACGTGAGGCACTGGGTTTCATCCTCAGCACCACATAAATACAGGTATTATGTCCATCTACAGCTAAGAATATTTTTTTAAAAATGGAAATTTTATAGCATAATGACTTCATTTATGATACACATACCAAATTATACACTTTAATTACACAATGTTCATTATGAGAATTATACCTCAGTAAAGTCTTTTTTAAAAATGCACAGGCATGGTTGGGGCTGTAACTCAGTGGTAGAGCACCTGCCTCGCATTGTGAGGAACAGGTTCGATCCTCAGCACCATATAAAAATAAATAAAGATTATGTCCAACTACAACTAAAAAAAAAAAATGCAAAGGCATAAGCCTTCCAACGTACATAATCAACAAACAAGGAAATAGATCTTGTGGTAAGAGCAATAAATTAACAAGCATAATCATTTTTTATGTGTTTATTTTGAAATGTGGTAGCACTGTGTTGCCTAAGTTGGCACTGAGCTCCTGGGCTCAAGTGGTTACCCACTCAGCCTCCCAACAGCTGGAACTATAGGTACCCACCAGTATGTCAGGTTAAATGAGAAATTTTTTATTTTTAGGTTATAGTTGGACACAATACCTTTATTTTATTTATTTTTATCTGGTGCTGAGGATCGAACCCAGAGCCTCGCACTTGGTAGGAGAGTGCTCTACCGCTGAGCCACAACCCAGCCCTTAAATGAAAATTTAATGAGCAACTTTACACACATAAATACACACAGATAAAGACACAGCTTTATGGTAGCCTCTATGAAAAAATATACACTATATTGCTGACTCTCAAAAACTAGTCCGGTTTGGAAACAAGAGTTTCATGAGAAAGCTTGGAAAAATATTAGATCCTCAAAGAAGAGTACACCTAATAAGGATGATTGCAAAGACTAATGTCAATGACTAGTAGAAAGAGCATTTTCAAAAATATAGGACCTCAGCTCACTTCTGAGCACAAGAGAGAAGGCAAACAAGCTGGGAGAAGGAAAGGAGACGTTCTAGGCTAAGGAGAGAGAGAGGCAGAGCTGGAAGTGTGGGGCCCCAAACAAGGTGAGCAGAGATGATGTATTTCCAGGATATCGAGCAGCCAAATTGGAGCTCCACTGGTGAGAGACACGAGTGCCAGGCAGGAGGTGAGATCTCACACAAAAGGCATGAGGATCCCACCACACACCTAACCAAACAGGCAACACAGACACAATCCCTCAGGAAAGTTGCACCAACAGTGACAAGTAGACAGCAAAAAAGGATGGAGGCAAAGGAGCAGCGGAAATCATCCCGGGGGCAAAGGTAGAATGGGAACAAAGCTAAGAGAAATTTAGTTGGCCACAGGCTATGGAGGGCCAAGAAGCTTAAGGAGGCAGCAATTGCCTCAAAATGGTGCTGACATGCTTGGGGTCAACTAGGAAGAGTGTAACTAATTTTATACAGAAACAATTTACATTTAAACAGCACTTTTAAGTTGTCCAAGCACTTTCACATACTGTATCTCTTTCAGGCTGGTTACATAGATTGGGAGTGATGAATTTACACCCCCACTTTTATACCCTACACGTAACTAAGGTCATGGCAAGCCACAGATCCTGGGTCATCCCAGAGAAAACTACTGAAGCAATAACTGAAATATATTCATATAGTCCCCAGGCTTGGAAAGAATACAAGAGCACCATTAAAAAAAAAAATGCTCTTTAAGAAACAGTACTTTGGAACAATATCTATCTACATGGCTTTGAGAAAAGCTATGTACATCACTGGACGCTAGACAAAAAGGAGTTCTGTTTTACTAATAAAAAAACAAAACCATACCTCCTCTTGATTCAGAACTTCTGAGGTGTTTTCGCCTCCTGATCCGGCTTGTTCTCCCTCTTCCCTTCTGCATACTAAACTGGAGTTTCTGTGTAGGTGCCCAGCCTAAAATACAAAGCAGGTCTTTCTCTTACTTTCCAGCTGCATGACAGTCACCATCTTTGCACTGCTGAATATGCAAACGTACATTTGGGTAAGCTGTTTCTCTAATGTGCTTTTTGTTCAGGAAATGTTTGTGCCATGAGCTAAATCAAGATCTCTTCCAAAACGGAGACCCCATCATATGGGTCCCTCTGAAACAGTTTCAGCTTGACACCTTAGTGAATGTTGATTAATGACAGAAAACTTCATAACTGATTTTTTTTTTTTTTTGGTATTGAGGACTAAAGCCCTTTTTTGTATTTCATTAAGGCAGAGTCTCAATAAGTTACTTAGCATCTTAACTGTTGCTGACGCTGGCTCTGAACCAGAGATCCTCCTGCCCCAGCCTCTGGAGCCACTGGGATTACAGGTGTGTGCCACCATGCCTGGCTCATAAACAGGTGCTTTGGTGACCTGTAAGATCTCTATTGTTTTCTTACAATTGCTTATATTTTATCATTACCTCATTAAAAATTTCCATTGGAAAATCACCTTGAAAGGGCAACATAGTTAGAATCGGCTCTGTGCAAAAGACTTTCGGGCAATGATGCAAATACCTTATTTCTGGACTGCCCAATACAGTGGTCCCTGACACATGTGAATCTTGAGTACTTCCAATGTGGCTACTGAAACTGAAAACAGAATTTTTTTTTTCCTGGTACAGGGATTGAACCCAGGAGAACTTGACTACTGAGTCACATCCCAGCCCTATTTTTTATTTTATTTAGAGACAGAATCTGAGTTGCTTAGTTCCTCTCTATTGGTAAGGCTGGCTTTGAACTCCTAGGATCCTCCTGCCTCAGCCTGCAGAGATGCTGGGATTACACCGTGTGCCACGGTGGGCTCATAACTGATTTTATAAACGAGTGCTTTGGTGACTTGCATATCGCAGTCGTAACCAACATTTACTAAAACACCAATCTGAATTAACCATATTTAGAACACGCAGAGCTGTGAAATTCCTGTTCCGTTAAAACTCTTCGACCAATCAAAAACTTCGCTTTCAGTGGCGAAGTCCTGTAATCCCAGACAATGAGAGGACACTGGCAAGAGAATCACTCATTTGTTCGAGGCCAGCCTCACCAACTGGACCCCCATCTTAAAATTTAAAATAATAGCAATAAAAAGCGCTGGGGGTGCAGCGCCATGGTAAAGAATCCCTAGGCTAATACCCAATACCAAAAAAATGTGTAAAGTAAAAAATGCTGTTTGTCGTAGCTAACACAGTCTTGGAATAAACATCTTTAAACAGGTGTTTGCAATAGATCAGGGAGAAAACACAAGTCAAAAAAGCAGACAAGCCAAGGTGGCAAGACGAGGAGTGGCTACTAGAATTTCTACAAGCTGCTTCGGTACAAGCAGCGCTCCGCGCCCCGCAGGGCTTTCCTCTAGGGCTCGGGGTGGCTCGAAGGCCGCCTGCTCCCCCGCGACGCCGGGCCACCCTCCGGCCCCCGACGCGCTCCACCATGCCCGCCGCCTGCCAGGGACACCCACCGCCAGCGCCCGAGCCGCACGCCCAGGGAACAGCCCGCGCGTGCGCACTGCTGGGACGGGCGGCGGCCACGCACGCGCGTCTCCGCCTACGCCCAACTCAAGAGACACCTTCCTGCAAGCCCCAGCCGCCGCCACCCGGGCAACGCGCAGCTCTGACCGGAAGTCCCCCGGCTCACCCGCAAGCTCGCCACGGCCTCTGACATTGCACGGGCCGAGGGTGACCCAACCCCCACTGTCAGAGACTGAGAGCCACCACGCCCGCCTCTGGCCCTTGACCGCCCAGACGTCAGTCACTCGCGGAGCCCCGCCCCTTCCCGTCGCCGGTGTGCGCGCATGCGCAGCTGCCACGACTCGCCGGTTGCGCCCAACCTTGACCGCTGGGTGGGTGCTCGGTGTTGCGCGGGCGGCTACGACCCTCCGAGGAGCCGAGCTGCCCAGGCTTGCCCTGTGCTCCACTAGGACGCAGCTCCTAGGGCGCCCCTCGCCGCCCGCAGGCCCTACCGGGCTGGCGCTACCTGCTCCCCATACCGCTCCTCTCCTCCCCCCCCACGGCCGGGACACGGTCTCGCGCGTCTCCCCACCTGTCCCGCCCCCGCTCTCTGCCCAGCTCCAGACCCGCCTTGCAGGAGGATTCCAAATAATCCACGGGGATACCATTTCCAGGAGACGGAGCTCCATTTCTACCCACCACTTGGATGTGGGCTGTGCTTAGTAAACGGATTCCTGAAAGTACAACGTGGAACAGGGTCTGGGTGGGAACTAACCTGGCAAATACCGCCTTGGCCCGGTGGTCAAGGCGACAGCATCCGGAATAAGTCACATAGACAGCATTTCCCTCCTGTATTCCTCCCCAAACCCATAACTCGCGTTCTTCCTTGAAAAAAAGAAAAAACCAACCCCAGGATTCTTAAAATATCTTTTCTGTCATGAAAACCAAACTCTGACAAGCTGTCATAAACGAGAGAAAACCAGAGAGACATGACCATTAAATGCAGTGTGGTATCCTGGAGGGGATCCTGGAATAGAAAAGGGATATTAGGAGGAAAACAAGTGAAATCCAATAAGGTGTGGAGCTTAGTTTTTGCAGCTGCTTCAGTATTGATTTCTTGTGACAAAAATACTACAGTGTTAGGTTATGTAGATATGAGCAAGGTCACTGGAAGGGACAGGGAAGATAAGCAGACCAAAGAGAGGGATCCCAAAATCTGCTATCAGAAAGGCTATAACCAGTAGTGGTCAGAATTATTGGGTCTCTTGGCAAACAGCACACCCACGCTGTCAAACAGGTCTCGGGCATGCTCCCTAAACTGCAATATGTTCAAGATAACCCTAAACAAATTATCAAATAGCATTCTAATATAATTAGCATTGCAATCCCCTCCTTGCCATTGTATACATATTGTAAACCTAAGAAAACTCTATGGCAATGTAACATGGAAAATTGACAAATAGGACAAATAGGATGGTGGGAACAAAGGGTTAAGAGAATATAAAATGAGCCTACTTTGCCAAAAAGCAATCTACCTGCAGCCTTGCCTATCCTGAGGGGTCAGGAAATGTCACATTCCTCAACAAACTGAGGCAGGGGGCCAAAAGCCTGGCAGTCAGTGTAGATAATGAATGATGGGGGTTGAGGAGATGAAGACTGGTTATCACTGGGTTTCTAACAGCTAACCTCCTGGACAGCACTTCCCAACACAAGGCATTACCTTCTGTGCTGCTCCTTCCTGCCCTTAGGTGCTTATATGGAGAAGAGAAGGTGGTGGAATTCTGGGGGTCTATAAAAGAGCAAGATACATCCACTCCTACTGGCACCCAGCTTTGGGCCCCATTTTCTCCTCCGAAGTCTGCTACCTTTGTCCCTCTCTTAAATAAAACTTGCTTTCTGCCTGTGGCTTCTTGGGTGTTTAATCTGCAACAGTGGGGTGGAGGTAGGGGTGTGGCTACCAGTTCCTGATCTCCAAGACTCTTATCAGTATCACAGTGTTTGATTCAGGAATTTGTACTTTGTACATCTCATTTTACCACATGCAGCAAGGTTGCTGAGGGGGTACACTCCTGACTTAAGGGATATACATTTCAGTAGAACAGGGGGAGAATTCATAACACAAAGCTCTTTTTAGAACATTTTTGAAGGAAGTGTGGTCACGGACCTAATGTCAAATTTTGCCTAGAATAAATAGTTTTTTTGCAGCTTGAACATTTCAGGAAGGTGCTTATAGGTGGGGTGGAGGACTAGGCTCCTCCCTGGGACAGAGCCTTGAGCTGTTACAAACTTCGTTAGTGTTTAAGTTGTTTGAGGTGAGGGCTCAGGTGGACTTTATAACTAGTGGTCCCTTCACCTTCTGAATATAGCCCTCATTGCTCTAAGGCTTATTTTTAAAAAAATGTTTTTTCTCTCTTCTCCCCTCTTCCCCTCCCTAACAAGATTAGGGGGACAGGATTATATTTTCTTCTGCTAGTTGTGTTGCCCTTGAACATACCCACTTCAGGAAGGAGACGCCTGCTGAGGATCTGGGAAATGAATATCTCCTAAATCCATCAGGGCACCCTGGGACTCCTTACCAGAACACACCTGGAAAGTAACCCTTGAATTTCCTTTAAAACTAACTCCCTGTCCTTCCTGATCTGGAGAGTCACAGCCTTTGGGATAGTCCCCTGTTTCTCCTTTGCTAGTAATGCAATAAACATTTACCTTTTTCTCAAAACCATGTCCTCATTATTAAATTGGCATTGATTGGCACTGGGGACAGAGACCAACCTTTGCTCAGTTACAGAGTTTCCTGGGGCAGCATGTGAGCTCTTTGCCTGTCAATCACTTGCCAGTCATGTGGCATAGGGACAGGGGAGGAACTAAACTCAAACCAGATTGAACGGAAAAACAGACAACCCAAATCCAGGGCTTCCTGCTCTGTTGAGACGGATCAATCACTCCTTGTTCTTTGGACTGTACTTTTGTATTGCAAGATAAAACTGTTGTGCTTATTTACTCTATGTGCTCTGTGTCTCCTGACTGAAATCCAGGGTGGATCTCCTCTCTAATCCAACATACTCTGCTCTGAGAGTGTATTCTTAACTTTTTAAATAAACTTTGCTATACTTTTGCTTTTTTTTTTTTTTTTGTACTGGGGTTAGAACCCAGGGGTGCTTTACCACTGAGCTATATATCCCCAGCCCTTTCCACTTTTGTTTTGTGACAGTATCCCACTAAGTTGCTGACTCTGGCTTTGAATTACGATCCTCCTGCCTCATTCAGCCTCCTGAGTACCCAGCTATTTTTGCTACTTTTCAAGTCTTGCCTTAAGTCTTCTCTGGTGGGAACACATAATAGAGGAATAAAACTGGATTACCAGTAACAATAGTGGTAAGATATTAATAGAAGAAGCCAAGTTAGAGGTATACTTTAATTCTCTGTATTACACTTGCAATGTTACTCTACATTAAACAATTATAAACTTAAAACTTAAAAAAAAAAAAAAAGATGTGTGGGCTAGAAATAGATGTTTCCAGGCATGGAACTGTTAAAATAAACTGATAAAGTTTTTAAGGAACTAACTTTATTTGAGCAGAGATTCATGAGTGGGGCAGGATGCAACTGGAATTCCTTTTGATCTCTACTTGGAAAGAGTACCAGGAGGTAGCTTTTATAGGATGAACATGAAAGTGTAATGCCAGATTCGTGGGGCCCAATAGACCTCCAGGAACCGAATCCGATGCAATCACACAAGAGTCTTTATTACAAGCTTGAGCCTGTAGTCACAACCATTTCCGATGCATCTGTCCCGAGGAGTGAGTCCTGGTCTTCTGTCCAGTGAGATTTTATAGGTTTTGGGGGGATACTCTATGGGTCACAGTATCACACAGCAAATCATTCCATACGGCAGGAAAATCAAACAACTCTTAACATTGATTAACACATTCACTGGCGGGAACAAGTTGGGTAGGGGTGATTGGTTAGTACAAGAGGGGGATTCCTTTGAACTGACTGGTTTAGGCCAAGAGGGGTGTACGTGCTAAACTACATGGTTTCCCAACATGTTATCAACCACCATAAACTACTGAGGGGTCATCTGGCATCCCTGGTATTTTCCCTGTCTCATGCTGATTGGTGGTTGCCAGGTGGGTTGCTATGGGTCTTCACCTAGCCTAACTGAGTCAGGGACACCTGGTGCTGCAGATCTCTCCTGTTATTTACAGACAAACAACTCAGCAGGGTGGGTATGTGCCTAGAAAGGCTCTGTGGGTTTTTCTAAGGACAAGGGTCACGCCCCCTTCCTTAAGACAGGGCCTTGAGGTAGAAGCTGCTGTTATTTATTTATTTTCAAAAATGGAGTCACATCAGTTTCTCAAAAGCAAAGCAACAAAATTGAATTTTAACCACAAAAAAAAAGCCTTATTTGAACTGTTTCCATGGGAAGTTCAAGGAAATACAACTAAAGCCCAGTTGATCACCTGTCATTGGCTAGCCTGAGTTTCATTTTCTTTTAAAGTGTGTGTGTGTGTGTGTGTGTGTGTGTGTGTGTGTGTGTGTGTGTGGCGCCCACACGCATGCACATGTTTTGCTGGTAATCTCCCCAGGGGCTTGCACATGCTCTTATTAACCACTAGCCAATGTCCAGTCCTCGTGTTCTTTTTCATCTCAGTCAGATTTGGGTTTATATAGGAATCCAGGGCATTAGAACTATTTCAATCTAATGGTCTTTCATTTCTTTTCTTTGTTAGTTGGTTGGCCCACTTAATCTGTATTTAACAGATTGAGACTTGGTGATGTCTTTAAAGTTCAACCCTTTTTCTAGCTTTCCATATTACCATCCCTGATGTAATTGGCTATTCAATACCCTTTTTGTTTTGTTCTCTCATGATCTCAAGGTAATTGCTACAGCTCTGGGTATCACATACACCTGCCCCCTAGACAACAAGAAACGCAGCATGGAGTCAGGCGCAGTAGCGCACAACTGTAATCCCAGGGGCTCAGGAGGCTGAGATAGGAGGATCATGAGATCAAAGCCAACCTTAGCAAAAAGCAAGGCACTAAACAACTCAGTGAGACCCTGTCTCTAAATAAAATACAAAATAGGATTGGGGATTTGGCTCGTTGGTTGAGTACCTCTGAGTTCAATCCTCAGTACCAAAACAAAAAAGAAAAGAAAAGCAGCATTTAAATAAGAACTTTCTTGTTATGAAGGTCAAAAATAATGTATGATCCCACTTGCTACATAGGAACTGATAAGGTTCTCTCCTTGACAGAACTATAGCCAGATTCCTGAGTTAAAACTTGTTCTATAAAACTACAGACACTCAGCACAAACAATTTTGTCCATCTATGTCCCCACCTCAAACAACTTAAACAGTAACATAGTTTCTTTTTTTTAAGAGAGAGAGAATTTTTTTAATATTTACTTTTCAGTTTTCAGTGGACACAACATCTTTATTTTACTTTTATGTGGT